TTAGAAACAAAGATGGGCTTCTTCAATTTGATCTTTATAACAATCAACTAATGGGATACCTTAAGTAATATAACTCAAAATAACACTGATACGTTCGCACCTTATCTTTATCCTAATCTTTCATTGTATTATATATCTAGTTTTCTACTTGTCTGATAACATTTTACATCAGCTGATATTGTTAATTTCATTCCTTACCGCTTTCAACCTCTGCGTGTTAATATATAAAAGTATGACAACTTGAAACAAGATACCAAAATATATGTTGTTGATACCATTTGGAAACTATTCATGAAAACTTGATGCACTTAATTTTACAGTATCCTATAACTTGTATTTTTAAGTCGTCCAAATGATTTTAATATATTTATACACTGTCTGAATTGAGTGTTTCAACAGCCACAATAAATTCAACAGTTCTACTTAAATTTCAAAAAACTGCTGGATTTCGTTTGAATAAAATTAAATTAAGATCACTGTAGCGTCTTCTAAGACTGCTTCAGCTTTCGTCTGGGTGACCGGAGTAGATTATTGATTCTCCAGTTGACAGTTTGGAGAGTCCACTCCCATTCCATCTGCTTTCGCAAATTCCAAGCACTTTGATGTGATACCTTCTCATCTCTTTTGCAATCTGGGCTGTCTTACTGGGTTCAAACATTGTGCGGACATTCCATGTCCCCACGTTTACTTTCGCTTTCATCGAGGGAGGGAAGACACATCGGCCAATTGGCTTCCCGGAGGCAGGCTTTCAACAACTGGCGTCATTTCGCCTCTCCGATTCCAGCGGGAATAAGTTTGTTATGATTTTTTATATTTTGTTTGTGCTTTGAAGTTTGTTTAGCGGTTAGATTTGTTTTCCGTGGTAGGATTGGTAGCCCTATGCCCAACCTTTCCTCTTTATTGGGGCTTAGAACCGGCTAGTAACTAGTGAACTAGTTAACCAGGCGGGACAGACGAGGATGTCAAAGTCAGAATCGGAAAAGCAAGAAAGGCGTTCATTAGCCTGAAACCAGTGTGGAGATCTCCTGCACTCAGCATGCGGAACAAGATATGGATTTTCAACACCAACGTCAATTCAGTGCTTCTGTGTGGTGGATGAGAGACTTGGAGCGTCACGAAAGGCATTTCCAATATACTACAGACATTCATCAACAACTGCCACCTATGCTGGCTCGCTACTGAAGATCAGATGGATTGCCAGAAAGAATAAGCAACAAGGAACTCCGGCCAGCAACGAACCAACCAAGAACCTATCACCCAACAAATATGCAGGAAGAAGTGGAGATGGATTGGGCATGCACTGAGAAGGCCGACTGGGGACATCACACGCTAAGCCAGGCCAGATTGTCGAGTGGAACCCCCATGGGAAGCGACGAGTTGGACGTCCGTGGCGAGGGTGACATGGAGGAGGCCGTGTGAGGAAGAAATGAGAGCTTGTGGGCTGTCGTGGAGCCAGGTTCAAAAGATCTCAGAGAACAGAGGTCACTGGAGACGTGCTACTGAAGCCCTATGTTCCACTAGGAACCCAAGGGACTAATAATAATAATAATAATAATCTATCCTTAAAAATACAAAGTTAAACTACTTAATTCATTTGATGCAAAAAGTTATTTGGTTTTAACTATTTCGTGATATTCTGAGAAAAATTGATTCCTTATAATTATTTCAAGGTGGTAGTATATTCTACGAAACTGACCCTATTCTCTATACATCAACGAATTGACAGTGCTTTAAAATTTCAAGTTATCCGTATGTGAGACCTGAAACAAATTCAAAGTGATTTCTATTACAAGTGAATGTTAGTTGGACAATGATTATAACTAATCAAGGACCGGAAATGACTATTCCTTTTGTTCCTAAGTCTCTTCACTAGTAACTTCTGAGTTTTTCGGGATTTCACATATATGTTTATCACAAAATTAAAGATGATCCTGTCATCATATCTTTCTGATGAAAAAGATTTCGAATGTACAGTAAAGTAACAAAACTTGAGTATTTAAAGTTTTAAATAAAATGTCTATATCATCGTAATGTTGTGAGTGGAACCTAGGGACTGTATCATTTGACGAAATGGTTTATTTCTATGTATTCGCTGAAAAGTACCCGATAAACTCTAGAGTAAAACTATCAGTGATTTTCATTCAAGATTCACAGCAAAGTTTCGAAGGATCAAGGGTTTCTTCAAGTTTTTGAATGCTATATATAATAAAAACTAACTAGGAAAAACCTTCTACACTGATATTCTTGATAATTTGTTACACCACTTCACTGCCTAACATTCACTTCATTTACTCTAGTCCAAATCCATAATCGTAAACAGTAATTCTGAAGACGAAAATCAGTTGATTACTTGAATACTTGTATACCTTCATATTTTTGGGAGGAAATAACTCCTAATCGGTTCAGAAAACTCTAAGAACTCTTTGTCCAACTTGTTGTATCTATAAGTATTTTTATTACTGACTGCTAATCAAAGGTTTAATTTATTCCCATTCGTAAGACAATAGCTCGATCTCGATAGAATCTCTTACACTATAGATCGGCATTGTAAAAGGAAACATTGAAGAAACTAGCAAACCTGTGACACTTGTTCTCTTGAAGTCTTACTCTTCTTTATAGTGAACACTTTTAATCGTATATCCTAAACAAGCATGATGTTCTTGATCTTAATTCCTGATGGGATCCTAAATCAACACTCTACATGGTTCTAGCATTCACTTGTTATCTAGCCCATGTTACCTCATGATAAAAGTGACTTTTAAACCATTCAATTCCATGAAAAGCATTAAAGTAGGTATTCTTTAAACTATATGCGTAACCATTTTCTAGTAATCTAATGTTTTAAACTAATTGCTTAACAAGAACATTCTCAGTAATAATCTTTCAAAATGTATGAGATTTAGAGTAACTAAATCCTTTTTAATCAAAATATACTATGAAGTTGGCTTCTCACATCAAAGATTTCCATCTGATCATAGAGACAATCAATACACTGAGTTCGTGGTGCTTAGAATAGATGACAGTCTCATTTCAACAAAAACTGAGAGGTAATAATGATGGATCGTGGCTAGCACTGGAATCCAGGATGCGCATTTCGTCCTATTTGGGACTCGTCAACTGGATGTACCTGCTTCTCAGCGAGTGATGTTATTCCCACCGGGAAGTGGCTATCGTGGCTTTGAGGTTTAATGGATAACGCCTTGGCGTTTGAGGCGGTCGCTCCCGTGTCCGAATCCCGGTAGGAACAACATCACTAACTGGGAAGCTGGTACATCCAGCTGATGAGTCCCAAATAGGACGAAATGCGCATCCTGGATTCCACTGCTAGCCACGATCCATCATTAATACAACTAGAACGCAGGCAATATCGAGACATCCGCACAGGAGCCCATATGTCAACAGAGACGGATTATATATATAATAGCAGTCACTATAAAGATATAAGTGGTGACTAGAAAAAGATGACAAGTTTTTCGAATGAAGAATCCCATTTTTTGACGTTTTTTTGGAGCAGGGAAAAAAAGATTCATAAGACAGCCTTCTTAAAAGTGTCAACAAATCATTCACGCCATTAAAAGCCTTTACGAATTCACTTCATTCACTCACAACGTTACAAAACAGATTCAGCAGAAGATTACTGAAGAATAATTTTCCACGATCCAGCAAAATGTTGCCAGTCAACCACAAGACGTCATCGTATTATCCATCTCCATTTCAAGGTTGAGGTACTACAGTGTGCAGTTAGAGTAAAAAACTTGTCGTAAGAAGCCGTATATTCTTGAAGCCTTTCACTCCCGATTGTGATTTACCGAAGTTTCAAATGAAAACACGTGAACCAATGTGTAAATATCAGATTAGCTGAACAGACGAAAATCAGTAGGATATGAGAATGTAGAAAGACTTGGAAATCGACAAGGCCATTGTAAATATATATAAACCCTTGAATTTGGTACATATTTTCGACGCTGAAATACGCCTTCTCTTATCTTGCCGCCTTTTCCATTTGTCGAGGAACTGAGCGACCATCAAGTGTGAAATCTGAAGACTGCTGTTGAAGCTTCCATATCTATATATCTGTATATTTATATATATACACCAGGTTATATCAAATAGTTTCTACAATGGATATAATAAGATATAAGGCAACATGAAGAGAAAGTTGTAGAAGGGAAAAAACTTAACCAAAAGTTATTAAAAGGAGGAGAATGATGGTTGAAAAAACCATGTGAAGATGGTATGAAGATTGAGATGAGGATACGGTGTGCATGCACCTTCAACATTGTGATTGATTCTACGCCACATCACTTAGAGTCTTCAACCACCTATTTTAAGATTTATATGAACTGCAAGCAGCTTCCTTTGCAGCTTGAACTAACTATACGACATTTCATAGGTTAGTGTCATGTTCTGGCAATCCCACTCATAGGATGTTTTTCACATAATTCTACTTCAGCTTTCATCCCTTGTCGAAGCAGAAGATGAGTTGAAGTGTGTTATGTCTACATATAACTATGCAGCTCTAAATAATTAGAGGAACTACGGTGGTATAACATTTCTGAATTGTATTTTTTGTGTTTCGCTTTGTCTCCACTCACTCACTTCATGATGTATAACTGCGAAGAAGTAGTAACCACTATACAATGTCTTTTGGTGGTCCGAAAAATCATTTAAAAAGTTACCGCCTTCTACTACAATATACATTGTGCTAAAGTTTATTTTATTCATATGAAGAGCGAATATTACCAACAACTCTTACACTGAGTTGTCGCGGTTTTTTCCAATGTGACATTGTCGTGACATTGTCAACGTGGGCGAAAGTTGTTTGTCAATAGTCTAGTGACATCGAGATCTCATAGATGGAATGATTAGTAAGCATTATGCTTTGCTTAATGGCTGTCATACACGAATACTTCATTGCTCGTATATTTAATTTTTCAATTTAATTTCTTACTACTGAAATTTGTCAATCAGTAGTTAGCTCCAACTTTGTCTTTTTACAGATTTTGTCTCTATGAGAAAATCTTCATTTGAGAATGTTGTCGCTGCATTTCAATGTCCACTTGAACGACAGGTTTCAATTTAAAGCAAGACATCAAAAATAAGTAAATAAAGTGAAACCAGCCTTAATGAACACTTTATGTATTCCTTCAATCCATCCACCAATGTCAAAAATCGGTCTTCATTTTAAATGTCAACATATTCGTGTATTTTTCTTTTATTCTTTTCTATTCTATTACATTTTCCTTCAAAATGGTATCATGAGTAAATCACCTGTTGTGTCCGGATTAAAATATACAAAAAGAACACTATACTTGAAGAGTTTACTGTCGAATACTGCTACACTCCCTCCACATTCCTCCTATCATCATTTCTACCACAGCTATCAACATCGTCATCCATATTGGGCTAATTATTCTGCTACTATTATGAAGTCAAAGTTTTCCAATGATTATGTTGATAGTTCATTTGGTTACCATGACAATTCACGTGTTCAGTGTGATAAGTTACCTGGTAAGGTCACTGTTACCATTATTGTCATTAACTCACATAACTATACATATATACATATATATATATATATATATATATATATATATATATATATATATATATATATATATATATATTGAGTTGGACAGTGTAAATACAGCGAAATTATCACTTAAGATATTTAAGTAGTGCTATCGAATTTATTTCTATATTGGGGGAAATAAAAATAAACATAAATGGATTCGATTTCATACTAGTTAGCTGACTCCAGACTTCGGGAAACTTTCAACCTGCTTTCCTGCACTTGGGTATTCATCAGTCGGGCGTATCTTTAGTTTCATTGAGTTAGGTTTTTGCTCCCATCACTGTATCATTCAACACTACAACAGAAGACACTGTCAATAAAATATTCGTACCCTTTCCAAAAACCTTTTTTCAACTTCTTGACTGGTTTTCTACCGGTTTGGAAAGCCAATTAATGTACGTAAACTGTACTAATCACTTAAGATCTCATTTCAGGTTAAATTTCCCGCCACATTTTTAAGAACTCACTGTATCGTTTCTTCCTACTAGATGCTACAAGTCAGTCTTGCATATATGAAAAGTTAAGTTTTTATCTTCTGCCAGAATATTAGTCTCGCTAACGATTAAAAAGGTGTAGGATATCGTAAACATTTTATCTCATGAAAACCATATGCTTTCGTGAATATCTAGTCGATGCCTTTGATTACTAACAGTGCTGAATATTTCCACCTGCCACTTGGTTTTCAAATGTTTATTTTGTCTGTAGATGAAGAATGTTTCACTGGTCGAGTTGGTTTTTCGATAAACATAAAATATAGTTTTTTTTAACTCTTTGGATATATCGGTCTCAAGAAGATATTCACTGATAAATTTTTTGAACTGCATTTTCTAAGCTCTCCTTACTGTAGGTACTATATAGACATATCTTAGTCATGCGTTAATCATTGCTAGTATTTATCTCTGGTTGTTCCACTCTGTTGGCCTTGAATTTTAAGTAACAGAAGTAAAGACTTAGCCACACTTCATGGGATGTATGTTTAGAAGACTGTTTCTTATTGAGAATTGATAGGGTTAGAGAACAAATGAAGCTATCTAGGTAGATTGTGTAAACTATAGGAGAATGTTGCCTAGCTTAACTTTTAATTTGAAAACTTTAAGCATCGTAAAGCATCCAACTGTTTTGAAGGTAAAGCCTTTAGTCCGGTTTTCTAGATGACTGACATTTCTTCCTAAAGGTTCTTAATGAAGAATATCCTCATACTTCATGTTACCTACAGGCTAATGGGAATATGAATTATGGCAGGTTAATCGATGACATTCAAGGAGTTCCCAGTTGTTAAATTACTTAGCAAACTCAACAGTGAGGATGACAACTTAAGCTGCTTAATGAACTCTGTGGATGATTGTTACTGTTGACTCCGAAAGTATAATACCTTCTAGACACAGATGGAATGATAAATAATCTACCGGACATTTAGTTCGTTCTCGGAATTCTAGCTTTGTATGCTACATTTAGAAAGAAACACCTTAAAGCTTCAGAAAAGGTTTCAATGGAAACGTTTGCTTGAGTGAGTAATTTTAGTGAATTAATTCATTCTGTAGTTTGTCTTCCAGATTTTCTTTTGATCTTACAACACAAAGGTCAGTCATTATAAATATATAGGCAATTGAGCCAAAAATTTGTAATGAATTCGAAGAAGGATATATATTGATATTGGTCACTGTACTAAAAGATATACCACGAAAGGTTACCCCTGGCATGAATAGCGTCTTCTACAACTCCTCGGCCTTAGAAGCGATTTGCGTTGTGTTTTAATTTCAGTGGGTAGGATGACACTAAGACACGGTTAGATTCAGATGATAACTTCTATACAGGATGAACCAAGTGTCCTAGAATCTAAGTCCAGTCACTATATTTGAACGAATTAGTAAGACAGACTTAAAGTAACTGTTTGGAACAACCAAATGGTCAAAGTCAATCAAATATTCAGTGAGAGAACTTTTAAAGCATTTCCTTTTAGTCATAACATTTTGTTGATGTACTTGTAATTCTACGTTGTTTTTTGGATCGAGTTGTTCGACTTCTGTTTTCATATGGGCTCTTATATGGGTGCCTTGATATCCGCTGAATATTTAATATAGAAATTTACTTGGTTGTGACCAGCAGAATAATTGAAGTTGTGTTTCGTCCTATTTCGGCATCCTCATCTGGATGTATCAGCTCCCCAACCCAGTGAGTGACGTTGTTCCCACTGGGACTCGAACCTCGTACCCAGCGCTTCAAACGCCATAACGTTGCCCATCAGGCTACTGAAGCAACGGGTATTAGTTATAACTTTCTGCTGATGTACTTGTAATTCTCCATTATTATCCTGAGTAGAATTTCTATCTCGATCATATAAAATCACTGTAGAATGTACTCTCCTATATGTGTTGGTAGGAAGGGGCGGCTGTTGTCGGTGCACGTTACTCCACAGAGAGGTGTGCTGGTAGATGAAAGTGAACTTTTCCATGCTCTCTGATGGTGTTATGCTCCCTGAGGTGGAAGGTTTAACCGTGAAGCCTACCTTGTTATTCTAGATAGCATTATCATTACAAACTTCCGATAGAAGTGAGCCATCGAATTTTCTCCACAAGTGGTTTAGTAGCTTGTCCTGATGATCTTGAGTGTGACCGTTTTTTCCTGCTATAATCTTGCCATCATCTTCAGACATATTTCGATTCATTGGCTTTCCGAAATGAACTTTGACCTAATTTCTTTTTACGTATGTTTATTATTGGCGGCAAACTGGGGCAATGCCAGTACATCTGTTAATTGCTGATTAACATGAATGTGTCAAGCTTCTAAAACATTCTCCGGCATCATTTGTATTTCCTGTATCCTGGATATGCATATTTTCCAAGTCGAATTTGTGTCCCTAATCGGCTATAAGTAATAATATAAGTGAAGGTATATCATAACGTCTAATTTTTGGTTGATGCTGGTGTAGAAGGATGCAAAGAAGGTTAACACACTCTCCGACGTAGTGTAAATCACAGTTTCTGAGATTTGTTTTGTGGATAACGTTTGGTTTGTCTTCTTTCTCTGTGACATCTTTTGGCCTGCATAACAGAGAGTGAAAAGATTTTTTAAGCTTGTGGGCAACAGTGATTCCGAAAGGCTTCAGTAATCTACTTGTAATCCAAGAGACGTTCTTAATGTAGGGAAAGGCGATCTGTTGTTTAGTTTTCAAGGATGATCTTTTGGTTGATGACGAATCATACGAACATCTTTTGAAGTTGTATGGATATCCATCCTTCTGGGAAACAGTCATTAAATAGTTTAATCCTTTTTTCCGCAAGGTTGACGTAATACAATATGTCTTCGCTTTTCGAAGAACGTTTTGTGCAAACGCTTTTGCTGTAGTTGGTGATTTCATCCATGTAAGTTGATTCTTTGCATAAATCACTTTTCAGTCTCCGTGAATCCGTTCTAGTGGTCAGAACATCTGGTGAACTTATGAATGAGAATTCGTCATAAAAGTTGTTGGTTATTTGTTAGTATTCCAACTCGTTTCTTCTAATGATTACAAACGTAACATCCACAGTATTGGACCTTAAGTCTTGGTTTGTCCAGCGAATATACCACAGCTTCCAATCTTTGCATTGCTACGTCTGCAATTAGCCATGATTTAGGTGACCACATTGATGTTCTGTTTGTCTGTTTATAAAGCTTACCTTTAAACTAGAAACAACTTATAGGCCATAGATGAGTTGATTGTATCAAACTTGAACATTGTAGCTGTATGTGTTCCGAGAGGTGTGTATCATTGGTGAAGAGAAAAATCACTGTATACTCAGATACGTTGGGTTCATTTGAGATGTATACAACTGCAACGTCGAAAGACATCACGAGTTTGTCGTTTTCAATATGGATAGGCTTGATCTTTTTCCGAAAATTGTGTCAAAGTATTTACAGAGTGATCGCACGATTCTACAAGATGTTTGAATTTTTTGAAGACTTCTTTTGACAGGTTGTATGCTGAAGTCCCTGGAAGTGAAATGATTGGTCATAGCCGGATGCTTGGTTTGTACAATTTTGGTCTCATTTATGGTGTAGCATGACTCAATCACTGAAGAATCGTGAGGACCTGACCATGATGAAGGAAATAATCTTTGAGAATTCACTGTCCTAATGAATTGTCAAGTGTTTAAGTATGCTACGACCTGAAGCCAACTGGAATCGAAGACAGTACCCAAAACAGTTCCTATAAGTTTATGTTTATTCATTCTGCCGAAATTTATCAGCTAGAAAATTTGTTATTCACTCGAAAGTTTGCAACAGCGTATTCAGGGGTAACAGACTGAATAATCAAGTACAGTTTTAAAACCTTGACTTTATCCTTGAGTCGCTACATGAATATTAATAACAATGACTGATATTAGTCAAGGTTTCTGGTATAAAACTACCTTTACGTCAACTACATATATTCTTTAAAGTTGTTTCTTCATGGATAGAGATAGGTTCAAGTATCGCTGAAACTCTCGTTTGGTACTAGTTAGCAGTACGCAAGCATGACCAAGGAAATTAGGTCTCACAGTAAGGCCGTTATCATTCAGCCACTGGATCGAAATATAGGGGTCCACCCTTTTTTGTTTGTCTCTTAATTCCCTCACTGAAGAAACCATCAACCAATACAATCTATTGGCATCCTTCTCCAACCTTACTAGGATAGTTCTGTTCTTAACAAGAACTTTGATGCACATTGCTGAAGAATCTAATACCGGGACAAAATAGTTACTTACTGTTCCTGGGTTTTTAACAGTTCTTTATTTCACCTAAGTCCAGGTTGAAAACTGCTTTGAAATCAAATAATGCTTGTAAAACTCATATATATATTATACTCAAAAGATGTCTGTCTGTGGAATTTCCTACTTTTAATATCCCGGTGAAAAATATAATTTTCTATTATAAAACGTTTTTCAGATAATCTATGTTTGCAAAAATATAAACGATTTCTAACGTCTTATGAGGAACAACCACAATCACTATCAACAGTAAAACCAAAAGATTCAGATACTATTCAACAACACTTCAACTTGTATGACGCTCACAAGTATAGACGAAATTTAAAACAACTTTCAAAGTTCAATGAGCCTAGTCTTCTAAATAAACTTCATTTTTATACAGAAAATAAAAAATTATTACATATAAGTAATTTAATTGAATCAAATCAAATCAGTTTATCAAAATGGCTATATCAGCTTATGCATCAAACAAATTTAACAAAAATTCTTGATCTAACAGGAAAATTATCACATTTAATATTGGATGTAGCATATGAACGAGTTAAATTTATTCTTCTATATGAATTTAAACAAACGTTACAAAAATTGTTTGAAATAGAGTCATCAAATGGAAAATATTATACAAAATCATCATCTATTTCAAGAGAACTATGGAGAAATTTAATTTATAATAACCTTTATGCAGAATATATTATTAATGAATTCAATTTACCTATTGAATCATTGAAACCAAAGATAATACAATCAATTTTTAATGAAATTGATTATAATGGTAAGTTATTGAATTGTATAATATTTAGTTAGGGTTGAAATTGAATCATTAACGGAGTATATCTTATGGCTACACTGTATTCTCCTCGTTTACATGTATAAATGAACTAAAACTATTTAAAGAGAATTTCTTGTTTTTCAAGGTTATGCCATGACTCTATCTGGGGATAACAGTACTAACTATATTTGTGTTTATAACTTTTGACTATTGAGTCAATTTCATCGATTGTAGTTTACACGATGAAGATATACCACACAGTCATTGTGACACTCAAGAATTATGTTATTAGTATTAGTCATGAAGTGACATCATTTGGAGAACCTTTGAAAACCTGGGAGCATTAGAGAGCTGTTTTGTTCAGGTATGTTACTGTTTAGCAGTGCATGTTCAACCGTCAAGTGCTCCCAGGTTCTTAGTGGTTTTGCAGAGGATGTCAGTCCCTGATGAATACAACCCTAAAAAGAAAATCTCCACTAGTTTATCTTATCTTCCTTACCCTATTATGATACATTCCTTTAGGGCTTTTATATTTTAACCAGCAGATTACTGTTCCCTAAAAACAATAAATAGTCGATATTGGCTAGTATGTTATACAAAATTATAAAGTTATTTAATTACCATTTTCTGTTTTTCAGTCATTCACCATAACTGATTCCTTTCTTCTCGAGGACGCCAGGTAGGCAGGTAGTCTGTATCTTCCCCGACGGCTCAGATGAAGAGTCAGAGACTTGGTTGACTGGTTCCACTTATTGTTCTGGCCATCTTGAACTCTACTCAAACCGACATCATCTCCGCCTGGCATGTGTTGTCGAGGTAGGCGGTCAACTAAGGTTCATAACCTCATCAATCGACTTTTCTGGTTTACCTAGTGCCCATTACCCGACCTCAACAATGTTCACATGGTGATTCTACCAAACGTGAGCAATGCTAGGAAGACATCTGTGATCGAAAACCTTTAATCACATCATTCTCTCTGCCTTTAATAGCCATGTCTCAAGGCCTTACAACAGGATAGAACGGACTGCAACACATACTCTTCCTTTCGTACATAGTGGGATATCTCGCCAGTCGGTACCATAGATGACAAAGGCTGGCAAACGCCGGATGCGTCTTGTGTATCCGAGCTGAAATTTCGTCAGCAACCAACCCATTACTGTTGATGCAACTTCCCAAGTAAGTGAAGTGGTCAACACATTCTACCACTTCACTCCCTATCATTAAACTGGGAGAACTTGCAGCATAGCAGTCCTGAATCCTCATTTTACATTTGACGGGTACGAAATGCAGGCTAAACATCCTCAGATCTCTGCTCAACGCATTCAGAAAACCCTGTGTTTTGTCAGTGTATTCATCCAGAAAGGTCAATATAGTCTGTACACTCCAGCTCTGGCTACTTAACCTGTTTGTATTTTTGAACCAACCAATACCTTGTAAACTAAATCGTTATACTGTTATGTTTTTAAATTGTACTGGTTACATCAGTAATAATAATAGGTTTGTTGTGCACCACTATGAATAAAGGTAACATTATATATACATACACATACTTTAAGTTCTGACCGTAGCCTGCTATTTAGGTGCATTGTATGGTCAACAAATGAGTCGGTCTGCTTTGTTCTGAAATTATTTGTTTACAGCTAATTTTTGCATAGTTCTGAATCAATACTCATCAATAAGACCTGTCTGATATGTCTTGAAAACTCATTTTTTTCAACAGAATTCGATGAATATTTGCGTGGCTGCAAATGACTTGAACCAAAGGGAATTACACGTCATTATTGTGTCATTTAGCTGAGAGATTAAACTACACACTATATTAGTAGTCTTCAGTCATGACTTTGGACCAAAAACCTATATCGAATACAATGTGATAAAAAAGAAGTAATCTTGAAGGGGTTCAACTGTATCATACACTAGTTGTCAGTTAAATCTTTGAATGATATAAAGTGGATGAGTTTCCAATTTTTAGAAAAATCTATGGGGAAAAAGTCGTCTCAGAGTTTCTGACTTTCTGACTTCAAGTATGCAATATTAAATTTATATCACCAGTTACCTGATACTTTTCAGGGTTTTCATTTTGTAAGGAACTGAAAGACTACAGATTAACAAGACATAGGCAGGTAAAGTGGATCTAATTTGTTGATACGCTGTTTGAGAACTTATTCATTTCCACGACTAAGTTACAGTCAGCTAGGCAATAAAACATATTGAGAACTCAATGCAATTTGAGGCGTTTCATTACCATAGAATATACTGTGTATACAAATGGAACACTATAGCTTTGACTGAGGAATTCATGGCTTCAGTATCCTGCTGTAGGATTGGACTTTATATATTTGTCAATCATTTCAGAGTGACAAATGCTAATTTTTTTATTGATAAATCCCGACGGAAAGGAAAAATTATTTCTTCCAGCTATCTTACACTAAAGAAAGTGTATTTTAATATTAATTCACTTAGCCGAATGGCTTCAGTGTATATGCATTCAATGAAATTAAGTAAGGATGCAGGTCTAAGCATCATTCGACCTGTTACTTTGCAGTCATAAAACCCAGAATTTTATTGGTCAGTCTTCTGATTTGACTTTTCTTCAAAAACAATTTTGTATAGTTTCATGGCGATGAAAATCCAAAAGTTTCTCCCAAAAATGTACTTCATGAATGTGACAGATCTGCATGCATGACAACCCGAATTTTTTGAACAACAGTAACCCAAACATTCTTTACCTTTAATAAAGTCATTCAAATGAATTTCGCTTCGTTTATATGCATGATTAGCATTCCTGTATTATTCCATACTTCTAATCCACTCCATACATTACAATACATCAACTAGTTAAAGAAATATTCGTGTGCATGAGCATTTCATTGTATTGTCTATTTGTACACTTTAAAATGTACTAGAGACAGTCGAACAAAACTATCCGTAGAACTTTTATGTTTACAAGAAAAAAGGCAAAAGTAAAATTATGACAACTCTAAGACTTTTATGTTATAGCTAATAGGTGTATATCGTCGATTGGACCAAATTGATCGATCACAGTTAGCATACAGGCTCCTATGCAGACACCTTGATATTACCAGGATTTTCAGTTTAGTTGTTAATAATGGTTAGTGGCTGACGATGAAATCTATAATGCATATCTCATCTTGTTTGCAACTCATCAGCTGAATGTGCGTACCTGCAAGTCCACAAGTTTGTGTTCGAGTCCTAGCGGGAACAAAATCACACCTTGGAAGGAAGTTAAATCCAGCTGACGAGTACCAAATAGTAAGAAATGCACTCCCTGGATTCCACTACTAGCAAATACCCATCGTTAATATTTTGATGTTTCATTTTGTAAGGAAACTTACAATTCAGTTAGCTAAAATAGTCGTTTTAGTCTTTCAGGTTTTAAATTTTACTACTGATTACGGCTTGACTGATAGCAGGAGAGCAGAAAAGATTTCTTTATTTGTCTAACACAGTACATTTAGCCGGTTGGTGCACTCTATGCCTTCTGAATGATAACCTGAGTTGAGTTATTTATTTCCAGAAATATTTACGCAGCTAAATTATTTTGAGATGAGAGTACTATGACTGGCCACCACACTGTGAAAAATCTTCATGTCGTTATCCGCATCGAACTTTTCAATAATATACTGTTCATCTAGGTAGTATCCATCACGGAGTGGGATCAGTCGGATAACCGTTTAAAACCTGGGAGCACTGGATAAGTGAGATGTCATGACCTTTCAGTTCAGCCAAGTCATGCTTGAGAAAAAATATTCTCCGAGGGAATTGAATAATGACCACGCTATATAAGGAATCGGCAGAGGCAGGAAAATGTGGACCATTGGATTCCAAGTCAGTGACTGAATTGTGACGTGCTTACTACGAGACCTAGGAGTCATAGATATGATTCCTGGTAGATTCATGGATGTGCACTATTGAAAAATCACATTGTGGGACGAAGAAGCCGTTCAGTGCTTTCAAGTTTTTAGTGACTCTTCAAACAATCTCAGCTGGTTATGAAAACTAATTTAAAATCTGTAAGATTCTCATGAAATTCAAGGCTGAAATACTAATCATTAGCTAAGATCTGATTCAAACGTAGACAAAGATACCAATTATGTTATGATTAAACATGTTTATGTGTTTCATGAACCTCGCCTGGTCAACTAGTTCACTGGTTACTAGCCGGCCTTAAGCCCGGGTAAATAGGGAAGGTTGGGCATACCGCCAGCAACCCTACCACGGAAAACCAATCCAACCGCTACAGAAACTTTAAAGTACAAACAAAATATAAAAAATAAAAACAAAATTATTCCTCACTGGAATCGGAGAGGCGAAGTGCCCCTGGTTGGTGAAAGCCTTCGGGAAGCCAATTTGCCCATGCGTCTTCTCTCTCTCGATGAAAGCAAAAGTAAGAATAGGGACATGGAATGTCCGCACAATGTTTGAACCTAGCAAGGCTGCCCAAATTCCAAAAGAGATGAGAAGGTATCGCATTGAAGTGTTAGGAATCTGAAGAAGCAGATGGAATGGAAGTGGGCTCTCCAAACTGTCAACTAGAGAATCAATAATCTACTCCGGTCACCCAGACGACAACCATAAGCACATGAAGGGAGTGGCTATCATGACATCAAAATTCTAATGGGTGAGGCGACATGAATGCTAAAATGGAATCGGACAACACAGGAATAGAACTAACCATGGGTTGAGAAGCACTCGGTGAAGTGAAGAATGAGAATGAAGTACTGTTAGCAGAATTCTGTGCACTCAAACATTTGGTGATTGGAGGCACTGTGTTCAAGCACAAGGATTTCCACAAAGCGACATAGATTCCACCATTCACCAGATGGACACCCTAAAAATCAAATCGACTTTATTTCAATCTCAAGAAAGCGAAGACGCAGTCTACTTGACACAAGATCAAGAAGGGGAGCAGATGCCGGTTCAGATCACTCACTATCTAGCAACATCCCTGAAGAAACCTGTGTGGATGAACACTGGAACTC